GTTAAATGTAAGTTTTAAAAGGGCAGGCTTCTCTAACATTTTTGCAAAAGTTTGTAAGTTGCACCAAGCTCTTCTCCTTATGCTATATAAAATTAGATTTTCGAGGGTATTTGATAATAATTCATTAGCAGAGATGGGAAATATTAAAAAAGTCTCTAATCAGATATCAAATACCATACATTCCTGGTTTTGAGGAGATTTCAAAGGGCAGGGTTTTTCTAACATTTTTGCAAAAGTTTGTAAGTTGCACCAAGCTCTTCTCCTTATGCTATATAAAATTAGATTTTTGGGGGTATTTGATAATAATTCATTAGCAGAAATGGGAAATATTAAAAAAGTCTCTAATCAGATATCAAATACCATACATTCCTGGTTTTGAGGAGATTTCAAACAAAAGTATATAGTTTTATGCACATATGTTCATGGTATAAAGCATGCCGTTCTGTATGTTGCTTACCATTTTGATAACTGAGGGTAGATTTTTCCATCTAATGAAAGGCTTTCTGAGTAGCCATCTAAACATAATCATTTTATTGCCCTATTTTGAGTCATGTAATGTTTAACTGTTTTGTATATTGACCACGTGGTCTTAGCTGAGCTTTGTCCTGACTGACTAAAATTCAGGTAAATGTGGTTGTCATCTAACTTTTCATAATATGATTAATAGCATCATACATGTGTTTATAGATAGAGATGATAATATATGCTCTTATCCCATCACCCATATATATGTAACATTTAGCACTGTGCCCAGAACATAGTAGTATACTCACAAATGATTGTAAAGTGAATGAATTAAAAGGTATTTTATTGCTGTAATTCACCAATATTCTTGAAAAATAGATTATACCCTTTTGTTAACATTCCTAATTCTGACGAAAGCACTTCAGGGCATTTATACATATACCACTTGCACTGAAAATGAATGAATATTGTAATTATTAATATTTGACCAACAAAAAAATTGTTTGGTTTTAGTATTCTTCATCTAACACTGAATTTATTCATAACTACTTTTTCTTTTATAAAGCTATTAACACTTTCATAATGAGAAATAAATTTTCTACATTTGACATTTAAATCAGTTAGCCAATCTGACCACACCCTAAATTCCCCAAACTTTAGGCCCTTTAAATAGAAAGAGGTATTTAAGAATCATCTTCCTTAGATAAACTACGTTCCCTTTAAAGTATTGTGTTTTATTTTGGTTTTCACCTTCTCAGAGATGTGGAAAATTTAGAAGATGCTCCATAACAGGAAACAAAATTGATTAGAGACTAAAAAAATAAACTAAGTTCTTATGATACAGGCATACTTCAGACATACATCATGGGTTCAGAGCACTGTAATAAAGTGAGTCACACAAAAATTTTTTGGCTTCCCAGTGCATATAAAAGTTATGTTGACATTATACTATAGTCTGTTAAGTGTGGAATAACATTATGTCTGAAAAAACAATGTACATATCTTAATTTACAAGTACTTAATTGCTAAAAAAAAAAAAAAAAAGAAGTGGTAATGATTATCTGACCCTTCAACGAGTCTTAATCTTTTTGCTGGCAGAGTCTTGCCAGATGGCTGCTGATCGATCGATCAGGGTGGTGAATGCTGAAGTTTGGGGTGACGTTAGTACTTCCTTGAGACAACAATGAAGTTTGCCGCATGGATTGACTCTTCCTTTCCCAAAAGGTTTCTCTGTAGCATGCAATGCTATTTGATAGCAATTTACTTACAGTAGAATTTCTGTGAAATTTGGAGTCAATCCTCTCAAACCCTCCTAAGTTGATGTAATTGTCTTGAATCCTGTGTTGTGATTTCAACAATATTTACAGCGTCTTTACCAGGAGTGGCTTCCATCTCAAGAAACATTTTTTTTTTTACTCATCCATAAGAAGCAACACCTTATCTATCCATTCAAGTTTTATCATGAGACTGCACACCCTGTCCTTTGAAGCTTTGAAGCCAGGCATTGACTTCTCTCTAGCTATGAAAGTCCTAGATGGTATCTTCTTCCAGTAGAAAGCCGTTTTGTCTACTTTGAAAATCTATTGTTTAGGGTAGCCACCTACATAATGATCTTAGCTAGATCTTCTGGACAAAATGCTACAGTTTCTCCATCAGCATTTGCTGGTTTACCTTGCACTTTCATGTTATGGAGATGGCTTCTTTCTTTATACCTCATGAACCAACCTTTACCAACTTCAAACTTAAGGAAATGTCATGGCTGGTTTGATCTTCTATCCAGGCCACTAAAACTTTCTCCATAAGGCAGTTTCACTTTCTTACCGTTTGTGTATTCGCTTTTAATTTCTTTCAAGAACTTTTCCTTTGCATTCACAACCTAGCTATTTTTGCAAAGGAGGCCTAGTTTTAGGCCTGTCTTAGCTTTCAACATGCCTTCCTCTCTAAGCTTAATCATTTCTAGCTTTTGATTTAAAGTGAGAGATGTGCTACTCTTCCTTTCACTTGAACACTTAGAGGCCATTATAGGATTATTACTTGCCCTGATTTCAGTATTGTGTGTCAGGTAATAGGAAGGCCAAGAGATGGGGGAACGGCCAGTCAGTGGATCAGTCAGAACACACATATCGGTTAAGTTTTCTGTCTTACATGGGCGTGCTTCATGGTACCCCAAAACAAATACGATAGCACCATCAAAGATGACTGATCACAGATCACCATAACAGATATAATAATATGGAAAAAGTGTGAAATAGTGTGAGAAAATTCAAAATGTAGACATGAAGTAAGCATGTGCTGTTGGAAAAATGGTAAAGATAGACTTGCTCAACACAAGAGTTGCCATAAACCTTCAATTTGTTTTTTAAAAAAAACAAAAATGCAAATCTACAAAGTGCACTAAAATGAGGTATGCCCATACTTAGAGATTTTTCTAAAGGAGATGTGGGAATTGATGTAATATATCTGAAGATAGTCAGCATAAACTAGCCTTCAAATCTTTAAAGCATCTTCTAAGATTTGTATTTATTTGCCATTGAAATAATTTTGAGAGTAGGTTTTCTTCCCTTGAGCTTTTAATGATAGGCCAGACCCATTAATGGGGGATGTTGTAAGCATAATACTAAATTATCCAGAAGCCCTTTCTAAATCTGAGATGATGAGATCATCAGATTCTTTGGCCTTTCAAGGTTTCATGCGGTAGAAAATGATAATATAAGCATAAAGGGCTTTACAGAAAAATACCTCTTTGGAGGCCCTCATTCTAATATAGAGACTATTGAGACAGACTTTATCTTCCAGAGAAATCAGTGTGCTTTTAATTTATTAAACTGTTCTTCCTCAGTGTTCTTTGTCATGCTTTAGAATAGACATGGAAATCTTTGTTTTGTAAGAAGTATCATTGACTTTAAATTAGTAAAAGCACAAAGATAGTCTAGATAAGTAGTTGTCAGTCAGGGAACATTTGGCAACACAGTTCGTCACAAATGGACTTGGGGGGACATATACTGAGTATAGGTCAGGGATATCGCTAAACATCCTGAGATGCACAGGATAGCCCCTCACAGCAGAATTATCCAGCTCCAAATGTCAACAGCAGTGGAGTTGAGAAGGCCTGGTCTAGATAGATTTACAAAGATTTGTGGTGCAGATTTATCTGGCTCTCAGTCTTGCACAACAGCTGCAAACCCTGAAATAACAGAAGAAATCTTACGCACTTCAAAAAGACCCAAGAAAAGATAGATAAAGAGACAAAATAGCACCCTTGATGGCTAATACTCACAGCTAATGGTAAATGTAAATATACATACATAAAACAAACCGTATGCTTCAGAGACAAGTCACCCTGAAAAAGAAATTTTAAAATATTGCCAAGGAACAGAGTGGTAAGAATACCTCAAATAATCTGCAAAGAGAGAGCGTAGTAGAAGAGCGAGTCTGGAATTAGGAGGCTGAGTTTTCATCTCAATATTATCATTAAGGTGCTAATGCGTAAAGAAAATATTTAGGTATTTTGAATCTGTTTTATGTAATAAATTAGAGAAGTGTGCACAGCTCGATTCGGTAGCCAACTCAAGTGACCCCTTTGTTCACAATTATTACTTGAAGAGAGTACAGTTAAAAGTTTAAGACAATCTAGTTTGTAACTTTCTTAATGATTTCCTGTGTTTAATCTATTTTTATGGGTAATTATAAATAGTGCCTTTTCTTTTTTCCTTGTTCATTTAGTTCCATTTTCCTCTCTTGACCATACAAATGCCATAGGCTGAATCATTCAGTTTAAGTGTTCATTCTTGCCAATTATGTGAAAGCATTAGCTTTTCATTTTGGCAAAGTGACTCAGAAAATGTTGATTCTGATATGCTGCTTTCTCAAGCACATGCTCTTCTCTTATCTTGACACAGAATATATCCACAAAGAAAGGATGCAATTTTAATGGGAAAAGACCCAGCCAAATCATCTTATCATGTTACACATCACATTACAGCAACTGGTTTACATTGACTTATACAGACCTAAGACCAGACAAGAAGTAACATTCTTACCCAAGTTCAACCAAAGATGTTTAGCTCTACCACATGGCAGTTTCTTTCAAGAAAATTAAAAACAGGAAAATGAAACCCATGTGTAAATTACAGCATTCTAAATCAGAGGTTGAAGAAGAGAAGAACTTCCTCAAAAACTAATTTCCACCAGATGGAAAACTTAGGAAAGTATTAATTTCTTCCTTTAGGTATTTAATAAGACTATATTAAACAATGAGAGTATCTAGCCCTAATAAGAGTGACAAGCTTGCTTATGAAACCTTCCTGAAATTTGTGTACGAGTGGGGTTGTTTTGTTTGATGATTTGGCTTTTTTACTCAAAAAGAATTAGCATTGTTTAAAATTGTGACCCAAGATGTTTTTTAATTTTAAAAGATTTTCTTTTTTCAGTTGAGGCGGTGGTGGTGTAAAAACACTTTTTCTCACTTTGTAGACTTTCCTTGAGCTGGAAGGCAATCCATTAAATGTCTATGGAAAGAAAAAACACTTTCAGAAAACACCAGATGTTTTTCTGTGTGTGTATGTAGATAATGTTTTCTATGGAAATTGTCATTGAGCAGACACAAATGTAAACTTATAAAATATGGCTGTGTGAGCTCAGTGAGGAAGGTTTAAAAGTAAAACAGCCTAGAGAATTTTAGTTAATAAGGTTGGTCAAGATTAACATCTTCCAGAGGTAGTTAACTAAGCTTGCTAAGTTAAATAAGGAACTTAGTTACTGGGAAAGAGTTGATTTTAAACATCATAGAAAAACACAAGTGAGGGGAGTATAAACTGTCTCTGCTAGAGGGTACAAGGTGCGTGCCAAGATTATTTCTAGAAGTAGTTTCTTTCTTTCTTCTTAAGCTGCCCTCGAGGCAGCATATAAATGCCTGGTACCCTGTGGATTAGTACAGCCTTGCCATTACTGAGGAAACAGGAAAGAACGAGATGAATTTGAGTTAACTCACAATCACAGGATCTCTATCTGTGTGCAAGACAGTTTCACAAGCCAACTTCAGAGCTACTTCACGCAAAGGAAGGTCTCCAAATATAAGTATTCCTTAAGCACATGTGAAAAATCATCTCATACAGAAATGGTTGTTTTTAGTTCTACATTTCTAACCCAGGGTAATCATACTGTGAAGAACTCGATACAAAATCTCTCTCAAATAGTTTTTTCTAATGTTTTTTATTAAGTATTTTATGTCCATTTTTTAAATGCAGCTTTATTAACCATCCTCTGTTTATTTTCATCCATGAATGCTTCCCCTCTCTTCTGGCTTTAAGTGTCATGAATTAATACCAGGAAGGAAAAAAACTGTGGCTAAGAATTGTATGTTGGATTTCTTTTTATAGATGGAATTTTTTTTCTTTTTAAAGGAAATAAACAATATTTTTTGGCCTCAACTGGGTTGTTTGAGATCATTTCTCTTGGCTCTGTCCTACATTCTGCATTGTGTTTTTTAATGTCTGAGTTTATGCAGTGACACAGAAATGGCACTTTCAGGGTTTTCTAAATATATGAAAATGAGATGGTCTTAGAAATAAATTGGTATAGTTTGGCCGTGTGGTCCCCAACCCCGGGCCACAGACCAGGCAGCAAAGCTCTGGTGCTGCCACCACCCACCCCACCCCTAGCCGTGGAAAAATTGTCCTCCATGAAACTTAGGAAATGGGAGAGCGAAGGAAGCTTCTTCTGTATTTACAGCCGCTCCCCACCCTGGTGCCAAAAAGGTTGGGGACCGCTGGATTGTGTATTGTACTTGTTTTATGTTGCATCTACTTCCTTGTTTTGCCCTCTACCCCCAAATGTGGGACTCATAGGCAAGAACTTCATCTTGATTCTTATTTCTCACTTTTCCCAAGGTGAATAATAACCTTATCATCTATCTACAGGTTAGCCACTCAGTCAAGATAAATATCTCCTTTTTTTCAACAGGTGAACGGAAAAGTCCTTATGTTGCAGTATGCTGTATAGTGATGGCCTTCAGCATCCTCTTCATGCAGTAGCTTGGAAAAATGCCAGAATTTAATTGCCATCAGATTTCAATGTGAACAAAGACTTATCTGCAAAAAAATAATGGAAAGAACAGTTAACCCTTTATCTCCAAATATGGAATGAGATAAATTTCCAGATGCTGTTCTCTATTTTTGTGTTATTGGACCAATGTTCTATATAAATAATTAAGATGTAACCATTTAATACTCAGAGGATTTAATAGTCTGTAACAATCAACCTCAGTACTGTCAAGACAGTATTATATTCTACAAATGTCATTCTTTGTGTCTGACACCAATTTTTAGTGAGGTATCTCTAAGACACACAGTAGAAAAGAAAATTACTCAAGTTCCTTTCACTATGATTTGGAAATGATAAATCTTTACAGAATGAGACCTTTTTTGTACTAATGTTTTTATTGAGAAAAAAATGATTCAATTTGTGTTGGTAAGGATTGCTTTCATATTTAATAATGCTTGCTTTTTCCTCTGGGGACACCATTTTGATCATTAACCAGCGTACCTCTACTCTCAGCAAAATCTGTAGTTTATTATAGGTGTTTAAAATATTTAAAATAAGCCCATGCAATTTTTAAGGAAGAAGATAAATGAGGTGTAACTTAAAAGTGGTATTGGGAAAATGTTCATATTTAAAATGAGAGGATAAAGACTACCCACTGGCGTAGTAGCCTCTGATCCCTCTGGTCAAGTGTAGATGAATGTCACAAGCATAAGTTTTACCAGTTAGCTGTTGTTCTGTGAAAAAAAGAACGTTCTCAGAATTAGAAGAGTGAAGCGGAATAATTATAGAATGATAATCCTAGAAGTGTTAAAAATGTCAGGTCTTCAAAAAATGAAACATTTATTTTAATTGCCCCCAAATGAACTGTATTTTGGTTTTTTGTTTTTTTTTAATACAGCACTTTAAATCTAGTTTATGTTTTTTCTGTCAACTTGAACTGGAATCTCTTGTGTAACTTTATGGATGATAAACAGTTTTCAAATCTACTTATTCACATGCTATGGCATAAGTGTCTTTGAGCTTTGATTGTGAAGGGGGAGACCTTCAGCAACTTTTAGTCTAGGCAAGAGGAATATTGGGAACGTGACTTATAAATTTACCATAGGGCAATTATAAGTTTATGGTTAACATTTCTTAAGGTTCAACTGAAATTCAGTTAAAATTTCAAAGCCAAGAGATGCTTAAATCTTAGCTAAATATTACCTATAGAACAAAGTATGGAATTAACAGCCGCCAGTTTTTAAAGACCGCTTTAAACTACTTAGAATGAATTCTAGGAAACATATAAGTAAACCCTATTATGTGTTGCTTGTTTGGTTTGGGGGGGGAGTTGTTCGTTTTCTACAAAAGAGCTATCATAGGCTGTCAGTGTATTTAATTTATATATCGGCATGTCTTTGGCTGGTTAAAAGTGATGTGTTTTGCTTTAGACAGGGAATCAGGTTATGATAATTGTTACTACTCTGAACTGCCTCTTGGGCTTTACATTAGGTCAAGGATTTTCAGAGTATCCCAAATGTCGGACTCTTGTCAGCATATCCATGCTGAGTAAGTCACCTTTCTGGGTCTGATTTCTAAGCGGCCATCTGTTCAGCTCTGCTGCCAACTGGATTTTCTAAAAACTGTGTCAACTAATCCTTTTATTTGCTGACACAATACTAACACGAAAAGGAGAAGAATATTCTAGATAATCAGTTCTAAGACATTGGTTAATTTGGCATTTCAGAGGAGATAGGTGGAAAGTAGAGGAAGAAATAATTTCTTTGGAAAATTTGTAGTAACATATAAAGCTTTTTGCTGTATATAGATGCTAAACTGAGTGGGAGGCAGCTTATTTCTAACCCCAGCCATTCTGACCTTTTAAAACACAAGCTCTTTGGGAAATGGAGGAAAGAGACAGGATCCTACAAAGAAAAGCAATTAGCATTTTCTTTAATGTATTTTTTTCAAAGAGTACCACTGAATCCTGTTCTCTAAGCCAAAGGACAGTGTAGGTGGTTTTAAGCCCACAGAATATTCAAATATTTCTCTTGTGGTCTTGGTGGGGTGGTAAGATGCTAAAGAGGATTAAAGATCAATTTAAGCACAGGATGGACTGCCTCTGTCACATAGACTTACTGCCGGGCTGGATGGGATGATGGACACTGAAGTCCTCAGCTTGCTGTGACCATTAGCTCTCCCTAGCCTCCTTTCTGGCTTCGGAATCTTTTGATTCCGTCTCTCCTGGAGTTTTTTTAGTGCTGATACGGAGTTCCCGTATCAGTGGCACATCTTCTTTCCAGGCAGTCTTAACAGATGGTTGATGAAAAGGCCTCAAAGTCTGTTGAATTCCCTCTGTGGCTTAAAAAAGTTGAGGTTCAAGTCCAGTGTCTTATTAATGCCTTGTTCTTTGAGCCATGCACTATCCTGAATGCTCTTACATGTTCAAATTCAAAGTAGCTCTTACATACTGGGAAAAACAGTAATATGTAATTTGAAATAGACTCCTTCATCTAAGAAGTAAAATAATCAATCTAGTTTTACCTTGGGACAGAAGAGAGGTTTGAATGAGCTCGGTTTTCCAAGTTTAAAAAGTCAAAAGTGAACAGAACTCTGCCTAATTTTGTGAAAAAAAAAATTAGCACCTGTAAATAGAATGTATTCCTTTCACCATTCTTTCAAGAAACATATAAGAGTACATACTGTATATTATCATTGAAGATAGAAAGGCACACAGTTTCTTCCCTGTAGTAGTTCATAATGTAGTAGGTGAGAGAGAAAGTTCTGTATACAAAGTACGATGTGATAGCATTTATTCTTGAGATAATCCCAGGATTCTAGAAGAAAACAATGAAGGGTGACAATTCAGTAAGGATGTGAACTTCCTTCCGGAGGAGCAATGTTTAAGATGGACTTGAGAATACTGTGCAAAAGCACAGTGGTATGTTAAGGACTATGAATACCTAGCTCGTGCCATTGGGGAAGTATTAACACAAAAACCAAGAAAGGTGAATAGAGATTAGATCCTAGACAGTCTTGTATTTTTCTCATTCCTATTACCTACCTCAAAATTGAAGTTGAAAATGTTTTCCCTCCTGCCTAACACAAAACTACTTGAGGAAAAAAATAAAAATTCCTCCTTGGTGTATGTACAAACAAGGTTGAATATATACATGCCCACCTATTTTGGACTAAGGATACAATAATATACTGTCCAGAAACTCACCTGAGTAGTGTATAAGGTAGAGGCAACTAACTGGTCAAGTTAGTGTTTTTAGGAACTCTAAATAGCTCGTACTCCATTGATACCAAAAGCAGCCATGATTGTTAAAGCACACACCTGCACAAGAAGCAGAGGTAGTTGCATTGTCTACATTTCCGTGGTGCAAAAAAAAGAAATTTCCAATAAGCAAGGACTTTATTTTCAAAGCCTTGACACGTTACTGTATTATAGGAAGCTAAAAACAAAAATGAAAGATTCTTGGGGACCACTCCATGCTTTCTTTGGTCAATTAACAGTAGATGTTCAAAACGAGTACCTAATATCAGCATTGTGTGAATACCTTATTCTAAATAATAAAATCACTACTAGCTTCCGAAAAATGGCTTCATAATTATGTTATTTATATACTGCCCTCTGTGGTTTACTTTGCCTTCAACTAATCCCAAAGTAATAATCTGAAATGCTACTCCAATATCAGGAAAAAGAGGAGGTGGAAATATATTTCCTGTGATTCTAGGAATACAGCATCCTAATTTCTGGTTAGCTCATGTGTCTAGTATGTAATAAAAATCAAAATGAACTCTCAAGCCTCCTAGTTTTGTCGTATTGTCAGATGAATGAAAACAGTTTATAGAGCTTTAAAAATAGCCACCTTTTTAGCAAGATAGGAATAGAGAAATTTTATATTCCTTTTACCTACATTTTAATTCATGGCTGGTCAAGATTAGTTTGGGGGTATTGTTTTGTATCTTAAAGCTGTTCAATATATTGCTATTTCTTCAAGTAAGCTTTCAATAGCCTAAATGACTCTGGTAGTTTGCTTTGGATACGAAGTCTTTAATTCCACCAGAGATGATCAAAATCTGATTCTGAATGAGAGTGACAATTATCAATTACTAACAGTTTTCAACTTTGTCCTCAACTGAGACCCTTCAGATGCCCAAACATTCTGGCAAGTAGCTGTCATTTTCTGTCCAAAATCTGTGAGCAGTGTCCATCAGAGACAGATTATTCAGCCAATTTATACTATTTATCGAGAAATAGGAAAACTTGTGTCTTGCTTTAAGGAACATGGGATTCCTACTGTTATCTTCCCAGAACTGAATTAACAAAGACAAATCTGTCAGACCTGTTACTAGAAAGAATTTACCTAACCAAATGAATTGCAACAACTAAATTTTTAGTTTTAGAGCTCAAAAAAATTTAAGATATGAATAAACAGTATCTTAGTTGTTTCCTTCACTGTATATTGTAAACCTTCAATGCTTCATTTCACTACCAATTAATATAAGACTATAGGAAAATCACTCGATTTCTGATTTCTAACAAGTCAAAATTCAAAATGTATTTGCTTAAGATCATTGAATTTAATACATCCCGAAAAGCAAAATCTGTTTTTAATTTAGAGGATTTACAATAATTTCCTTAACCGTAAACAGATTCGTGTGGGGCAGCAAAGGGGAAAAAACACAAATATTGAAATAAGGGTAAGTTACTTCACACACTTTGTGGAGGATGAGAACGCTCAAGAACTGCATAATACCCAGACACTACCGTTTGAACTTTGACAAGGGCAGTAGGCTGAGAACAAATGTGTACAGGCCTCTGGTTTGTTCCCAAAGTGCCAAAAGCTATAATTTGCCAGCCACTTCAATTTTTTTTTATTACTATGTCTAGGCTAAATACTGGAAAAGTAATGTGCAAAGATATTGAACTGTTTAAAAAGAAATAAGAAAACATTTAAGTCATGAAGGATTTCAAGAAAGCCAGCATCAAAGAATCTTTGCAGTAAACTAAGTATTAAAAGTGATCTGCAGGCTCTAGATAACACCGAAAGATTTGACCTTGGAAATTAAGTTATAAAGATACTGAAAATACAACATTAGGATTCCAAAAAAGCAGAAGATAGTATTTTCCTTTTGATTTCATTTAATAGAAATAGTTTTATTCTTTGCTTTTTTTAAAGTATTTCCATAACAAGCATCTTGAAAGAAGTCTTTTTTTTTTTTGCATGAATAAAGGGATATTTATTGAAATCTTGCATTCTAAAAGGGCTGATGTCAGCCTTTCCGATGACAAAGGATAATAAAGAGCAATAGGCTTTGTAAATCGACCCTTTCACGCTATCAAAAATTGCATGTAACTTTTACGTTGGTTCATGACTAATACATCCGAAAAGGCCTTTTGAAGTTTGGAGAATTTTTTTTTTCTCAAAATAAGAATA